TATTCCGATAGGCTTTTGTTAGCCAAAGTTTCCGTTGTCAGCTGTTCTAGAGAAAGGATTTTGGAAGCTTCTGGGGGTACTTGGTTTAGTGCTAGCTCAACCTCCGTGCGCCGTTTCTCCGCTTGCCGTTTTGGTATTAGCATATAGGTTTCCATGTTTTTTTTATATGCTTATTGGTGGTTTGCTGTCACTGCGCTTATAACGGCTGATGCTAGTAATGGTAATAGAGCGGGTAAGAATCCTCCTCGTTGTAATAGTATACGTTTTTTCTTTTGAAGTGATACACTTGGAGATGCTAGAAGCTTTATGGGAGTCTTGCACTTTTTACACGCTGTCAGCTGATGAGGCTTTAAGGGGACTCGTCCTTTAATAAGGTTCAAGGCAAGCTCTTGAATACCCCTTATATGGTGTTTATCGCAACACTGCTTCAACAGTGCTCTTCGTTGCTTAGGCTTTGCCCGGTTAAGGGTAAGCAAAAACGGGGCAATCTCCTTCGCTTTACTTGCCATTTTTTAGGCTCAGTGATGGCAGATGATCAGTATAAATTCTCATTGTCTCTTTAGGAAACAAATGCGATCGCAGCCTTAAATAAGATGGACAAGCTGGGGTAAGGTCAATTAAGAGCGGTTGATAGTTTTCTGACGTGCAAGCCGCGTACGCTTGCGCAAGGCACTTTAGTTTTGTTTGACGTTGTAAGATATCGATCTGGCCGAGGTCCCGAGCATTCTTAAACAGCACCATATACTGACAATTTAGTGTTATATCACGCATCGCTTTTCCTTGTTTGTACAGGTTTTGGGTAATATAAATAACGCTCAGGTTTTTATGGTGAATTCCTTGCGTGAACAGATTACTGGCCTGCTCATTTTTTGCCATCTCGTGTGCCAAATCATCCACAATCAGTAAATTTGTCACCTCTTTATCGAAAAAATCCTCGTCCGAAAAAAGGTCACTCAGTCCTTTCACAAACTCTGTTTCTGGACACTGAACTTTCAAAGCATCGTATCCATTCTGCCACTGATTGTATGCATATACCACTCTTCTCGGAGTCGAAGTCATCATTTCTTTTCGTTGCTCGATTAGGCGGAAGACAAAAGACGATTTTCCAACCATTGTAGGACCGCAAATCATCATTCCAAAAGGAGTTACGAGTTTTGGCTGACTTTCCAGCTCCACGAAATTGTTTTGAATTACTGCTGTCATGGCGGCATCAATAAAAAATATAGTCGCAGTTGGTAAACTGAATTGTGGCTTTGATCTTCAAGATATCGCAGACCTTCTCCAGATCCCGTACGATCCCAACATTTTTTCAGGACTTACTATTCGCCGAACGCGTCCATACAAAAGTCACTGTCAACTATACAGCAATGGTCGGATTACAGTAAACGGAGCTGTTACCGAGCGTAATGCTGAAGAGCTTCTCGAACTCTATTGTAACGATATGCACATTTTAGGCTATACCGATGCGTACGTTACGGACTTCGAAATAGTTAATGTAGTAGCGTCTTGGGACATGTATCGACCATTGAAACTAGATAACGTGTTTAAAAGCTGCACTGCTACCGCCCGTGTTATGAACCTGAACTGTTTCCTGGTCTAAGCGTCCATCTACCGGAAGCAACTTGTGTAATTTTTACCTCTGGTAAAGTTAATATTTTGGGTGCAAAGTCGGAATTGGCTGTGCGTAGTACGGCAGCCGAACTTCGCTTGCTACTGTTTTAATGTTCACATGAATCTTATCAAAGTTCAATTTGTTTGTTTTTTTTTACTAAGTCTTCTCCGCTTTAATAGACCACTGCTCTGCCATAAACTAATAAACATACGAAAAAACGATATTCTTTTTTTTTTTTTTAAAAAAAACAAAACCGTCAGTTTTAACATCAGTTTTCTTGCGGCGGGCGATCTGGTCTGCAGGACGTTCCGCTATGCCAGTCATGCTCAGCTTGTGGGTCGTCATGCGGCTCCCAGTTTTCTAACTCTAGTCCACAATGAATACACTTCACTAGGTCACGCAATCCCGTGTAAAAGAAGCCGGCTCTCGCAAAACGCGCCGCTGACGGTGTACGCAGTGTCCAGTTCCGGTGTTGAAACGAGTGCAGACGGTATACGAACCGTCTGAATTCATGTTGCAGCCGATAGCCTGCTGCAGCACGCCCAGGAGTCGCTGTGTCCGTTCTTCTGGTAGGCGCTCCCGGGGGATCCAACCAAACCAAAGTGTATCCACTCAAAGCGCCCAATGGTAGACGATACGGCCTATCCGCCGCAGGCGCTGAAGTCGACGCAGTTGCTGGTTCTGGCCGTAGCGGTGGTTGTGGCGGAGTTGGCGTGGCTGGTGACGCTCCGGTTTCAGCGCTTGGTACTGAAGCTGAGTCCGGTACTTGCGGTGGAACAGACCTTGTTGAGCTTACTGGAGAATCTTGCAATTCGCCATCTTCAACCAGAAGAGAGTCTCCACCACTATCGTAGTCTTCGTTGACTTCAGACATTTTTACACTGCCGTACTAACCGCTTGCATGTTTCTCGGTTTATATACCGGCCATCGGTATGGTAGCGTTAGGGTCACCTTTATAGGATCGATACCGTTCAAGGATCATTTCCCACCATGACTGATAACCAGCCCGACGCGATACTATTTTACAGCAGTACTGTGCGACCTGCATGACTTTCCCAACATACAGGCCTAGGTCAGAGTCACCGTTCACAGGTCGGGGTAGCGGAAGCCGATAGCGACCTCTCAAAAACTGTGGCTCCCACCAGCTTGAACAATTCGGGTTAACTGGTAGACTAGAAAAAAAATCTTCTGGCTTCTTAGGCTTGGGGACTTCATACCCCACGTGGAGAATTTTGCATAACCAGCCATCGACCATGATGTTCATACCCGGTGCCAAATCTAAACAATTGTTTTTTTTTTATTTGACTTTCAGACGACCCTCTGTTTTTATATTTGTTTTACCGTGAATTTCCTTCACAACGTCCCTGACAAACATCTCAGTGTCACTATTAAAGGTTGAATTATCACTTGCCAAACCGCCGAACACCGATGGAGCACACAGGAGGAAAACAATCGTCTTGAACTCCATGGTTGTTTTTAATAAAAAAAAAACGACGTTCTAGAAACTTGCAGGTCGTTGCCTTATACTCTGAAACTTGAACTCCTAAGGCCTTAAATAGACTTTACACCCGCAGCCGTATCGGTCTCTAGTGCTATCTTAATTTCTTCCAAGAAACCGTGCAGTATATGATACAGCATATACTGGTCGTAACTCTTAAAGTGGATGGAGAACCCATGAGCGTTGACTAATGCCATTCTTGAACAATCCAGTTCGTACTCTATTTCCAATGTCCAAGGTGATTCCGGTTGTGTATCTTTAAATTTTTTAACCATTTTGGACTTTTTTAATAATTCATGGATGTCGTATGCTTCTGCAGCACCAAACGTCCAGGACACTCTCGCCCCTGCCTGTTCGTCCACAAGTTGCAATCGCTTAAAACGGCCTCCCTTGCCCGTTATGATATTAACTTTTGTACCTCGTTTCAAATCCCAGCTCGCTTCGCATTCTCCCTGGTCTAACGGTTTAATCACCGCTCCGTACATTATATCTGATGTAGCGTCCATTGTGTTCGATATGGCGTTCGTTTTTGTTTTGCAGTGTAAAGATATTCTCTGATTAACGATATGGTTTTTTCTGTACTATATACAACAACCACCTTAAATAGACTTTATTCAATATTGCCATCAATAACAGCTAGCCAGCACACGCTTCATTTATTTCGCGCTCATACGCCTGTAGAATGTTACACAACTTCTTTTGGGCCAATAAAGGCAGCTCCAGCACCATCTCTGGATGATTTAACAATAACTTTGAGCAGTATGTTGTAGCTTCCACTTCCATGTCCCAGCTTAATCCTTCGACGGACTTCAGCCGGATGGATGTCTTTCGCGGAGTCAACGCTTCGTGTAGTTTCTTTGCCTCCATCGGTAAGAGATGGATGAATACTAATCGCTCTCCCTGTTGACCTTCAATCTCCATCCAATCAAACTTCCCCTTGAACGTTATCACGTTGGCCTTTACATTTCCAGCCAAACTCCACTGCAGTTGGCTATAGGAACCTGCAAAAGGCAAAATCTCGGCCTCGTACATTACCGCTAATGTGTTGTCGTACATCTGCGCCATGGTACTGACATGCTTCATGGTAGCCACAGTTGCAAAACATTTCAGCTCTTATATACCAGTTACAACAAAGATAGTATCTGCCATTTCCGGTCAGCAGTTTTCAAACATGGTATATAAAGCCCAATATTTCCAACAGCAAAATTCAGTCGTCTTCCGTTCTTGAACCAACTTTGGTGTATAAAGTGGTTCAGAGTTGTTCGGTGCCAGTTGGATATTATGGCCCTAGCGACCTTGTCTCGCCCGCCATTCCCCGTCACGGTATTGCTTGGATATTTTAGATCAGTTCAAAATGGATTGACCAAATCCTTTGGACTGACTACGATTACTAAGCAGGACCGTCAGCGTCGTGACCTTTTGGGCTCCATATTTCTTTTTTACTGACCTGAGCAGGGTTCATACTATGACCCTGCAGAGTTTTCACTTGTTTATTTGTTCATATATACGGTATTGCTCTGTAATCGTGGTTGAGTTAAACTGGATTGATCGAATCCATGTAGCTTACTACGACTACTGAGCAGGACCGAAACCAGTTCAGTTACCAGGAACTGCTTTGAAAGGAATGTGATCAAATATCTAATCTGTTACTATCCGTAATTCCCGTTACACTTTTGTGTGAGTTGTACATTGCGCTGGTAGTAATGGACATCACCGTAGTTTCTATTGGTCATTTCCATTGCGACTAGCTCCATGTTCACCTCAATGCGATTCAGAACTCAAGGTATAGGCTTCATAAATAAGTCGACGGTCTGTAGCAGGAGCCATAATGATGGACATTACCGCACGTTGGTCATATCCATCATTATTATTGGTTCTTTGTACGTCCTGCAGTATTTTTGAATGTTTGACAGACTTTTATGAGAGTTGATACGTAGCGCTGGTAGTAATGGAAATTACCTCAATTGTAATTGGTCATTTCCATAGCCACCAGTTCCATGTACACCTCAATGTGAATTGGAACTTAAAAAGTATTGGCTTTGCAAATATAGGGAGGACGTGTACCACGGAACTTCAGCAATAGACGTTACCATATCTTGGTCATGTCCAATGCTGCTTGTTCCTTGTATGTCCTGTAACAAACTTGAATGTTTGACTAGCTTCCGTGAAAGCTGATACATAACGCTGGTAGTAATGCAACTGCTCTTAATAACTATTGGTCGAATCCGTCGTTGCCGGTTCCTTTTGCGCAGAGTGCGTTGTGGATTTCCAGTAAGTAATCAAATAGATGCAAAACTTTAATCAACTTTCACCAGAACATGTTGTGGCTTACTCGTAAACTAAACAATTTTATAGGATAAGGTCTGGGGTTCAATCCCCTGGTAGCTTAACATAAAACAAAAAAAATTTCAGTAGCAAGCCACAGCTTGTTCTTTTTTTTAACAAAAATACACTGGCAAGATTTTTTTTATGACGGAACGACACATTGGGCAACCATCACAGTCCTTCACACAACAGTTGCAAACAACAAAATGACCACATGGATATAGAACCTGCGTGATGACATTTGTGTAACAAATTTTACACAGCTTTTCGTCTTTCACTTCGGCCAGATGATCTGCTGGAGAACGTAGGAATATTCGTCGCCAATGCTCTCTTACTGCCCGCAGATGTTCCTCGCTATTACCCTTCATTCTCGCATTTCTGTTAATACCACAAAACTGATTTACCGTTCAGCAATGCAGGGCCACTATATAAAGCCAATAACCTTTCACGCCTTTCGCTGTCCCGGCAACCCTGTTCAAGCCAGGGAACAGACCAGGGAAACCCCAGCTCCGACTGGGCCATGATTCTCGCACTCGGACGCCGGCGTAAGGCTTCCATCACGTGCTCCCAACTATAGAACTGTAAAGCTTGTAGAATTTTTTCTTCTTCGGCCACGTTGTCTGGCCACAGCAGCGCGTCTTCATCTACAATATCGAAAGCTTAGTTGTAATACGGTATTTACTCTTTTACTGCCAATCTAACCTTCTTTAGATGCATTTCTATATTTGTTCTGTTTCTTCTGCTGAATCGTATTTATAAAACTTTCCCCCTTCTGCTCCATCAAATACGGACACTGCGGTCTTAAGGCAGCATGAATCTCCCAAGGGTCTTCATTTTCTCTCCAGCAATCTCTTCCCATGCCACAGTAAAAACAGCGTGTCAGTATACAATAGTTTATAAAGTAAAAACCCGCTGCAGCCATTTCTTGTGGATGTTGATGTGGACTGCTTGGCCAACGAGCAAAAGTAGCGAAGCGGCTTTCATAGGATTGCATTTTTGGGCAGTAAACCTTGGTAATGATGTCCTTGCTGTACACCTCGAATCCAGCAAATTCCTCCTCACTAGCCTCTCCATCATAAACGTCTGCGTCCGCTTCGGTGTCACTACAGCTGGTAACTTCACTTTCTGATCTCGACATTTTACAATCCGGAAAATAAATTTTATGTGTTGCAACCGGTGTACCCTTTATGTTCCGTGCACTAATAGTTCCAAGACAATAACTACACGTAATTAAGTCCTCATAACCAGTACATTCAAAGCCAGCCTTAGCCAGTTCCAAAGGGGTCCAAGATGAATACCCCCATTCAAGGAACGATAATATACGATTGTACAAGTCCATCAGCTAGTAATTAACTTTCCGTCAGTTCCTATTTTGGCTATAAATACCACAGTTGCATTCAAGCTTTCATGTTCAAACACGTTTCTCTATTTAACACATATTTACCCTATTTTTACGAATTTTTCTAGGTCATTAGGAATTTTTTCAGAATTTTCTAAATTATTTTTGAAAAACGGGACGTCATCCCGGGACGCTCTTATCAGCGTCCCACATCTAAAAGCCGGTCGAGACAGGCATATTACTACTCATTTGACCTACTTGACAGTTCATTTTCATCATACTTAACAGTTCATTTCCGTTCATTTTATCAGTAGGATACATACTTAACAGTTCATTTTTCATTTTTTCAGTTCATTTCAGGCATATGTACTGTAATTAAGGTCCGCTTCGCGCTTGCAAACTGACGTTAACTACGCTAGTCTATTATTTTATGAGAGTATTGTACATCTCATGATTTCGCACTCAAGTGTCCATTACCAAAAAATTTTGCTGCGGTATTCAGGGCAGATATCACAACAAAAAGTTCTGCGCTGGAAAAATCAATCTATGCGACTCCGCAATGGCGGCCATGACTGCGTCCATTGCACACGATTTTTTTGCACTTTTTATTCTATTAATTTTCATTTTTAGCGGCCATGTTACTTTTTCTAACCGAAATGTTTACACTATAATTTTGTGCATCAATCCGGTTACGATGTCTGCGCCGATGGCGGCGACCTCGCTGCTGAAACGCTTATCATTACAATACTGTTATACACATCCAAAGATCTTCAAATCAGAGAGCGTGTATCCCGTATTGGCTAGTCCAGGTGCAGAGTGCCATAATGCGCGGCGGCGCGCACATCGGCCGTAATAGCAGGATATCGTAATAAACATGCAAACTCATCGCTTGATCACAGCGGCAGCAACTGCACAATAAAAGAAAAAAGCGTCTGGAAGGTATAACTTTCTTCATTGTTGTGCTGGTTTGAAAAGTACGTAACAAAGTTTGTTAACAAAATCTAATTATCAATCATCATTAAATTACTGCATTTTGAATAACATGCAACGAATGATTTTTTCGGTATGTTTCTTGCATGCACACGTCAAGAGTATGTCAGTCACGACAGCCATCTGCCATATAACACATGGGTTAACGAGCGATTATTGCATGTACATATGAGTATTTCCGACCTTGAGGCGGACTCAAACGATTATAAATTCACACCTGATTTTTTTTCAGTATTACAGTACTTCCGTTTGTGTCCATTCATAAAGCTGTTTGTGCACGTGTGTGCAAACTGCAACCGCAGATTTTAGTATCACTCAATTTTAATATCTGTTGACGGTGATTTTACTGCACATAAGCAGAATGATGGTCGTCGTGATACTCCTTATTTGTGTCGGCTCTTCGTTTGCTCTTCCTGTAAGAGATCACTTCTGCTAACATGATTTATATTAACCGTTATTAAGAACATTGTTCAGGTTGCCTTTCTGTTAACGTACGGAATTTGCTCTACTCTAGGTGAAACGCGCTGCAGGAGATCAAACACCGAAAATCTGGGATGCGCTTACGCAGATTCGAGGCCGAGACAGGCTTTCCGTGGATGATATAAGGCAACTATATCTCAATGCTAAAGCTGGCGAAGACTATCCAATCCTGAGTGAAATCCCACCGGGAAATTTTGATTGTGGCGCCCGCAAGCAGCCTGGATTTTATGCCGATGTCGACTCGAAATGTCAAGGTAATGTTATATTGTGCCAAGCCGACTACCGATAGAAGGTCATGTTCCAATAAAATTTATCTTGCAGTTATTCGTCGATGTGACATGAACGGAAACCAAACTGCCTACCTCTGCCCCAACATGACAGTATGTAACACGGGCACGCTGAGAAGGTCACCGTAAGAAGTTCGACAACACTTTTTTGGCTTTTTGTAGATCTTCAACCAGATCACTCTGGTTTGCGATTGGTTTTACAATGTTGACTGCAGCCAAGCAGAGAAGTGGTATGACTACAGCAATAGCCGTTTGTACCAAGGCGCCGATGTTCCGTTGCTTGATAATCAAAACGTAACCGCTGAGGATTTGGGTGCCGTCAGTAATGCTTCGCAACCAAGCAGCAAACCAGTGCCATCCAAGCCCGGCAAAGTGACTACAGCGAAACCAGGCAAAGCGTCCACAGCGAAGCCATCTATCGGCGGACGCGTATTGATTCCCAGTGAGCCGTCGACTACAGCGAAACCGGCTGCCGTTAATGCAGCATCTCAGCCAGCTGCCGGCAAAGGAGCAACCAAGGCAGCCAAAGGCACTACCACTGCACCGACAACTGCCGCTGCTGTGACTGGTGAAGAGACAACCCCGGGTGAGCCCCAAGAAACAACCTCCGGCGCGGTTGCTGAAGAGAGTACATCCGCCGCTCCAGGTGAAGGTCAAGATACCTCCACAGCACCAGCTGACGACACAACGGCCGCTGAGGTGTCCGAAGAAAGCACAGCAGCAGGTGCCACTGGTAACGACACGACTGCTGCCGTTTCCGGGGAAGAAACTACATCTGCTTCTGTTGGTGGAGAAGAAACCACCGCTGCAGCGGCTATCAATGAAACCTCCGCGGCCGCTGTTGGCGGAGAAGAAACAACTACCTCTGCCGAGGAAACTACGGCGGCTGCTAGTGAGGAAACGTCCACTGCCGCGGCTCCCGGTGAAGGAACAACCGCTTCTGACGAAGAAACTACAGCGGCTGCTGCGGGTGAACAGGAAACATCTTCGGCTGCCAAAGAAACGACAGCTGCTGCTGCTGGTAGCAGCGAAGAGACCACAACCGCTGCTGAGTAATCGATAAATGAGCCGGCCGACATGGCGTTTATAAATGCCGATATTTTGAATTTCAAGCTCATTTTTTGCGTCATGAGGCGCTTTCGATGCTCCGCACACTGATCCGTTTGGTAATTTATTCTGTGTTTAAGATTATCTTTTGTACGTTTTTTATTTTGTAGTACGTCAAAAAAAACCAGAGAAGATTCGAGCAGAATTCCAGGCTATAGGAATACTGAGCATAATTTATGGTGCGAAGATTAAAACAGATCAGTGAAACTACTAGGAAAGTGCACCGCTGTTGGCTTGCACTGAAAGACCGAAGCGAAGCCGGAAACCAAGTTTAATTAAAAAGTTTGCTGAGATTGTTTTAAACTGTTTTAAAAACATATGTTTAATATCTAAATTTTTTTTTATTTTTTATTTAATATTTTTTGGTGTGTTCTTCCTTGTTTTATTTGAGATTGTTAATGCGTGACCGACATGATCGACGTGACCGACAAAATTCCTGTTTTCTTGAACATAGAGGACCTTCGCTTCGCTTCGGTCGATTACTGGTAATTTACTGTAATTTTACATGCCTGCCCTAACGCTGACCAGTGAGTATATACTAACGATAAGTGCAAACAACGGTGGATAAAGTTGTTGTGTGCTCAGCACCCATCGTAAAATTAAGTATGTTTCTGCGACTGTAAAAACAGATGCCAGTATGATACAGTATGTACAGTCGTGCTCTTGCGATACTACTACAGTATAATCACATAATGTTATGAATGCTGTCTGTAAACGAGCATTCGCATCAGCCGGAATTGAAACAGCTTGAACCAGTGGGCTTATGTAGAACGAATGGCCAACGTCCGGATGGCGTTACGTAGCACCATGGGAAAGAGGAAGAATGCTGACGTGGGATATCACCTGCGTCTGTACGGTGGCATTATCGCATATCGTGGCAACTTCCGTGCGAGCTGGAGCAGCGGCGGCAAAGGCTGAACAGGATAAGGTAACCAAGTACCATAACGTCACCCCGGACTACCTGTTCAGCGCTTTGGGCTTTGAAACGCTTGGACCAAACGGACCGGAAGCTTCCCGTCTGCTGACGGAAGTGGGTAGAAGGGTACGGCAAGAAACTGGCGAGGCACGAGCACCGGAATACCTGCGCCAGCGTATCAGCATAGAAATCCAGCGCGGGAATGCGGCCTCCGTTCAGGGAACAGCTCCACCGGGAGCAAATTTAGATCAGTTCTTCTCTGTTTTTAAACCTCCCAAGGCTGTTTTCTGCTGATTGAGTGTACTGTGTTGTGATGTTAATTGTTTTCTATAAGCTAAATGTACAAGGATCAAAATGTTTTGCAAACGAACACAAAAGGTCGCAACTGCAAGCTGCAGTGACTTGCGGATGTTATGAAACAATGCAAAGGTGATTTCGGATGATGCAGGAACATAAACCATTAGGTTACATATTGGTTTGCCCGAGCTTTTCTGCTCGTATGATTATAACACGGCGTTCCGTCGGCTTCATTTTGGCCAGTTTGCCAAATGCAACAACATGTGTGGGGGTTGTACCACTCACAGTCTGGCAAACAAGGTTTTCCCTATGCCCAATAACACAGAATAATTTTGGCACATAGTTGTACATGTATGGGTATATCGTATTATCGCATACAATGGACTTCAAAATTTTGTTACATTCGGTCCGGGACCGAATGACCAATAAAAAGGAAACGTGCAAGACTTTACACTTACACCTTGCGCATTTCCCAACGAATGGCTCGATTTTCGAGCCATTTTTAGTTTGTCATAGACAAAGCATACGATTTCCGTGTGAAAATTGAAACCAAACCGTGGATTCAAATCCTATGCTATGTCTACGAGGAACTTTAGATTCGTCGATTTTTTCTTAGATCTCATAAAATACAACTTGTTTGGTATCAAAATTCTTGAAATTTTTTTCTCATTCGTTTGAGATATCGTTCAATGGTTTCCGTTGGGAAATGCGCAAGGTGTCAGTGTTAATGCCAGCAGGCCGATGGCCAGTCCAAAATTTAACTGCTCAAGTACAGAAAAGTGTCTGGTTGCGCGCGTTTTGTGCATGATGACATAAGTGTAAGAAAATTTTGAAGTCCGCTGTACCTATCAGTTTACTGTTTACCGCACTCCTTTGTTGTCGCGGTCGATGTTTTTCTCGTTCGTTTGTACTTCTACTTACAACAGCCGCATTCCTAATGGTGTTCCTTAAGAGTGGATGAGAACACCAAAGACATTTAAGTGGAATGAAAACTATCCAGCTGTACTTTCGGATTAGGCTGCTTCCCTTCAGAATTCCGTCGGTCTGCACACAGATGCAGACTTAACACTATGAAAAGAAGAAGACTAGTCTTCGCATAGGAACAGTGTTAACGGCTTGTTTTTGGTTTGTCTATGGAGATTCGTAACCAAAATGTTACACGTCTTTGATTCGCCCATTTTAGGGGAGAGGTTTAGTATTTTCCGGAGGGCAAAACCCTGCAGAGTGCAGAGTTATACATAGTTACATACATAAAGACACTGTATGCGTTATACATACAAAGACTGTAAGTATTGTATATACGGCTTGTTTTTGAACGGTTAATACCTTTTAAGAGGATAGTTTAGCATTTCTGGCAGTGTTACTGTGCAACCATCCACAGTTACCGGTTCCCGAGCACCAGAGAAACTTAAGGCGGCGACTATGGAGTAAAACGTACGAAATCGATTTTGCATTCTTATCACCTACTCAAATTGTCAAATTCTTATCACCTACTCAATTCTCACTTACCGGTTCCCGAGCACCAGAGAAACTTAAGGCGGCGACTATGGAGTAAAACGTACAAAATCGATTTTGCATTCTTATCACCTACTCAAATTGTCAAATTCTTATCACCTACTCAATTCTCACTTACCGGTTCCCGAGCACCAGAGAAACTTAAGGCGGCGACTATGGAGTAAAACGTACAAAATCGATTTTGCATTCTTATCACCTACTCAAATTGTCAAATTCTTATCACCTACTCAATTCTCACTTACCGGTTCCCGAGCACCAGAGAAACTTAAGGCGGCGACTATGGAGTAAAACGTACAAAATCGATTTTGCATTCTTATCACCTACTCAAAATGAACTTATAACGTTTCATAAGCATGATTTCGGTTGTATTGAAATTTCTTGACAGCGACAAAAGTTGTCACAAAACGTAGCTTGTTCTCCTAAATTTTTGAAGTTGGTTTAGTTTAAACAATAACTGATCGAGACGCAAGAGTTGAAGTTATCTTGCAAGTTCGAGGGAAACAACCAGCCGTCCGAAACTGCATTAAACCGTTGCCTGTTTGCGGTTGCATAAGTTACAGTGCACCTGTTAACGGGCTTTTCCAAAATATCAAAATTTTCAATTTTGGTTCACTCCACACCTAAGGGGCTAATTTTAGGGAGTTAATGGGTGCTAGAAAGCACATTCTCATTCCAGCAGCACGCTGCTGGAATGAAAACCTTTAAAAATTCGTAACTTTGTTATTTTCCGTGCAAAATTTTTCTGTATGCGCTTAGAAAATTTAAAATAATGCATACTATTAGGAAGAATAACTGATTTTCTGGTTTCGTTTCAAGGTTTGGCACTGAGAGCATACGTGCTTTGCATAGCCGCCTATGAGAAATCTCGAATGAGTCTTGCATAGATAGGTATGTTAACAGCGAAGGCTCACAGTGAATAACCCGAAAATTAAAACAAAGAATCAGTTGTTTTGCCTAACGTTATGCGTTATTTTGTATTTTTAAGCTTATACAAAAGAATTTAACACGGAAATTAACAAATTTACGAAGTTTTTGAAGATTTTCATTCCAGCAGCGTGCTGCATGGGCCACCGCACTCGCACTTCAGCTACGTTGCTGCTAGACAGCTGACAAACCTTTGCCAGCGGCCCAGCAGTAAGGCAAACAAAATCGATAATAAATTCAAGAAATAAGAATGGACTGCTCTGTAAATAGTATGCTCTCGTCGTACATTGTATAGTATAACCACCTCGCGAGGTGGAGTTGCTGTATCGCAACGAGATTCGCTTCGAATTCGGGACATGGCCTTAGTTGTACACCTTTAACCACCTCGCGAGGTGGAGTTGCTGTATCGCAACGAGATTCGCTTCGAATTCGGGACAAGGCCTTAGTTGTACATTGGTGCGTTCCAATCTAGCGATGTTGGTAGTTTTCGGTTATACCAACGAAGTTGTTCACATTGACAAAGTTTTCCAGAAGGTTGACATCATTTAATTTGCAGTCGGCAGACATGTGAACAGGATTAGAATCGTTTACCTGACACAGGTAGGCTAGTACCTATTTTACTTTCAAAATGAAAGTATTTCAGTTACTTCAGGCATAACGAAACTAGTTGCCACGCATAAAAAAGTGAAAGTGATGGTAAGCCAAAAAGATCAATGTCTCAGTTTTATAAAGCTAGAAATACAATTTTCGGTATATTCTGGCTTTTTCACGTAGCAGTAAGTCAGAGCTATGTACCGTACATTGTATCTCGTATCTAAAAATAAATACACCATCCAAATAAATACACCATCTAAATTAGAATCCAGGAATTAAATGTTCAAAAACAACTGAAAATCAGTGCATTAGAAGCTCTGCAGTCGCGCATAAATAATTATTGTTGCATTTATGGTTACACGGTCCGTGGGTGTGCCTCCTTGAGCGATTTCAGGTTTTGACGATCAGAACATGGTCGCAACAGCAAATTAAGATACCAATAATCCTTCTCCGCCTTCCGGTTTGCTATGCTAAGGAAGAACAGCACAGGATCTAAAACCGTTTAAAGATTATCCAAAATTCAACCGATATATAATCACGAAAACAGTCGATCAGGATGAAATAGGACTTAACAGGCACACAGCAAACGATAGTGCGGAATGAATATAAAGGCACACATGTGGCACGGTTTGTTTTGCCACGAAAATCGGTAAATTTCCAGGCCACTTAATCTATGCAATCCAAGGTAAGCCAACCCAACGGTCCCAACCCAACGCAACTGCAAGCAACCCAACGCAGCCACAAGGTCACAAGCTCCGGTGCAGTGCAGGTTCCGGATGAAAGAAATACAGCAACGCAGTCCGGCAAGTATCCCTTGGATACAACATGATCATTTTCGGCTCGCGAGAACAGATTTTGAACAGGTTAATACGTCTTCCAGTGTGAGAATTTTCAGGTTGATTAGATTGGTGAAGGTATATACATGTTTCCATTTGGCAATGGTCGT